CTCACTTAGAAATGAAAACATACTTCAGTGATTCAGGTTGGGTATCTAGAAGTCAAGGTTCTGGGAGAGCAGAGCCACTGAACCATAGCCAAAGCTCCTGCCTGAAGACCTCCAAGCCCAGCCCTAGCTCACCTCTCCAAGGCTACCAAAATCCTCGATGAGGGAGATGAGGGAGGCATCCATGTAACTGTGCATGGTCCCCAGCAGTGTCCCATCCTGCAGTATCAGCTCCTCCATCTCCAGGTCCTTGTCCCTCAAACAGGGCCCCAGCCGAGACAGACTGACAAAGCCAGAATCATCCCCCTCCTCATGTAGCAGCACCTGGGGCAAAGGCGGGAAGGTCAGAAAGGTGTGGTGAAGGCTGCAGGGCATGCGCCCTCTGGGGCAGCTGATTGATGTCCTCTGTAAACCAGGCACCCAGCCCTCCACCAATGACCTTGGACTCGGCAGGGGCCCCACCACAGCCAAACCTCTGGACTTGCTGAGAAGAGGTAAGTACAGCCTATAAGCCAAAGCCCCAACCAGATGACAGTGTTTTTGCCCACCTTCTGAGTGAAAAAAGGTTTAGACTCAGGCTTTCCCAACCCATGCTCTCTTCACACCCCAGAATTCATTTTTTGTACCACTCACTTCTCTGGCAATCACATCCTGCCCTCTCCCCACCCTATGACATTCCTTGCATCATTACTAAAACTGGATTCCAAGTACCTCTGGGGGCAAATCACCCTTTGTACTCTGTTTATATTCTTCTTGGTTCTTGGAAGGGGTTTAAACTGAGCTTACGCTTCCTGGTTATCCATGATGCCTGGCACAGTGTATCAGAGTATACACAGTTGATATTCACACTTATTTCAGACTTTTATCTTGAAGGTCCTACAGTGTGCACCCAACCTCTCAAAGGTAGTACCAAGGGAAAAGTCTCTTCCCTATCCCTACTAGGTTAGAGCAAAAGAAGAGAAAGCTTGATTCTGTGGATGGAAAAGCCCCACCCCAACTCTTCCCTAAGAACTAGCAACATCTTCAGCCTTGTCAGGCAGGGAGCCACCCGCCCAGGCCTGTCAAGAGTGTGGGCGTGGGCAGGGCCAAAAGTGGCTGGAAGGGCTGGCAAGGCCAGAGGCCAGAGTACCAGAATACCTCCACTACAAGAAACTACAGATGATGCAAAGATCAAAGAGGAGCAAACACGGACAAGCCAGTCTCCTCTCTCCTTTGGTAGCAAAGGGAAAACTCTGTACCTTTTCCAAAAGAAAAAAAGCAACAGATGTGACTACACCCCCTACCATCCTCACCAAGCTGAGGAGTTACAATGCCCAAGGAGAGGAAAAGATAGATAGGGACACTTTAGGAGGCCAGGCCCGGAGACGAAGTGCAAGGTGGCAGGTTTTAGCCACTAACTCCTCCCAGGCCTTCATAATCCTGTAATTATAACCAGCTGCTGAATATCACCTGGCTCAGCAAACACTCCTAAGTGAGCAAGGAGGCTGCATCTTGACTTGCCCTGCCACCTACCTGACCCAGCCACTAGGCCAGAATCTTAAGACAATACCCAGCTCTACGAACTACTCATCACCACCTCTATCACGTAGGTATTGGAGCCCCAGTGAGAGACACCCCGCTCTTCATCTGACCTCACCCATCCTACAAACAGCACAGCTCCCAGAGTACCAAGATCATCTAGGGGCCAAGCCCAGGCTAAAAATGAGCCAGCCACCAGCATCTTTAACAACCTCCCAACTGGCTTTCCCACATCCAGTGTGTCCTGCAGTGTTCAAAACCAGCCACAAACTAAAACTAAAACAAAAAACAAAAACAAAAACAAAAACACACATTTTGATCACTTTTTGAGACCCTCCCTCATCCTCTCCAAGGGCATCTTCCTGCTCTCAGCATTAGTTCTAAAGTCCTTAAATGGCTTACAGGGGTCCTGGTATTTTCCTCCAGATTCTTCCCTAATGCGTCTTCTCTCAACACTCTGCCTATCTCTGTATACAGTAGCCACACAGCTTTCTCCAATAAGTCATGTTCTCTCCTACCTTGAGGCTTTCACGTACTATTTCCTCTGACAAAATTCCCCCCTGCCCCCACCACACACAGTCTTAGTTTAAAATGTTCCTTTCCAGACCTGCAAAATAGATTACTACTGCTGGTTATATAATCCCAAATAGACACTTTCCTTTTGTCCCACTCATCATTAGTTACTATCTGTGTATCCTGATAAAAACATAAGATCCTGGAGGACAGGGACCCTGTGTGGTTTACCACAGTATCCCTTGTGTCTGAAAATAATGGAATCTCAATAAATAGCTGGTTGACTAGCTTCCACACGCTCATCATTGTGTGTGTTTGTGGTGAACAACCTCACCATGAGATCCTCTCCAACCCCAAATGATCATCTAACTTGGATTACAGCTGGATCATGGATACTTCCTGCCTCTCCCCATAAGGGTGGGCAGCACTAGCCCTACAAGATGGGGCCTCTGAGAAAAAAAGAGAAGGGTAGGGGGGCCTGGAATGGCCTGCTAGAACTGACATTATGGACAGCCTGCAGCCCAACTCCCACCTAGAGACAAGAAGGAAAAAAAGCGTTCGAGGACTCAGCTTAATTGCTTAAGAGAGATAACAGCTCAGACTAAGTCTTGCCCACCACCACTCTGGGTGGGAACTTTTTTAAGAAGCCCTGGTGAGAAGTGGGAAGATAACACTTTTAAATATGGGGAACTGAAGGCCAAGAAAAAAGAATATTACAGAAAAAAATCCCCTCCTCATTCAATAAATTTTCGGCTAGTGTTGAATAGTTCTCAAATCACCTCCAACTCTTCCCCTCCCCAGCAAAAATTCCAGAAAAATTTAAACACAGATTATCTCAATTTGTATGTCAGTTCAAAGAAGGCCTTAGCTGCCTCCTCAAAAGAGATGGAGGAAGAAGTGAGGACAGAGAGGATTCCCTTTCCCTTATTTAAGCCTGTCCCACGTACATGCTGACACTCCTCATACCCTTTGAAACACGAATGAGACAGGTCTGCAGGCAACCAAAACGCCAGTGCCCGTGACTCACAACGCACCCCGAGCCGTTCAGACAGAAGCCGCCACAAGCTCACCCCACAGCACTCATCTTCAGCTTTTTACCCTCCCCAACACACTCCGCCATCCGCAGGGAACAGACGACCCGCACATCTGGAAAGTCCTTCACCACCCACTGTCGAGAGGCGACGCGGATCAAAGCAGGAGGAAAAAAACTCCAAGGCTCTGGGCAAAGTTGAGTCTACCTTCCTTCCCACCCAGGGGCCCCCAACCCAGATAGGAGATGGCGGGACCGGCTGAGACACACCCAGTTCCCGGCAGTGCGGCTCCAGCGCGGATACCAGACGCCGGGCAGCCTGGAGCGGGAGCCACGTGGACATCCCCTCCCCGCCCCCACGTGGACCCGCGGGCCACCCCCTCCAAGCCCAACCCACGTGGGTGCCGGGGCCGCCTAGAGGGGGAGGGGAAGCAGACAAGTTCTCCCGGCAAAACCGCTCCCCACAACCCCACGTGGCTCCGAAAAGGGACTGCAGCGCGGGGCTAGGAGCACCCCAACTCGGCATCCTTAGAGAGGGATCTTAGTCTTCTACTCCAAGTCCGAATCCCTGACCCCCACCCCCACCACGGACCATGTTTCCGACACCTGGTTCTGCACCTCTGGCGTTCGGGAGAAATGGCTATAAGGACTGCGCCTCCACCCGCATCCCCCTAGCAAACGACCCAGGTCCGCTCGGCCCAACCCGTCTCCTGCAGTCACCCGGCATCGACTCCCGAGCGCTTCTTCCCTTTCCTGTGGCGTCCACGTGTCACCGCCCGGCACACGCCGCTTTGCTGGCAGCCGTGGGCCGCCAGCCAGTCTCTTACCTGCTCCCCGCCGCTTACAGAGCCTACAGTGCCATATGGCGCTTGGCTGCGACTCCCCCAGCTGCTGCCGCGCACCCCACCGCCTGGGTCGGGGCCGGGGCCCCCACTCAGAGGCGGCGCGACTCCGTCTTTCCGTCCCCGGCGCGCCGCCATCTTGGCCCCTCAACACCCAGCGCAGCTCTGATCGCTGGCGCCGCCTCGCCCTGCCGATTGTGCGACGGGAACTACAACTCCCGAAAGACACCGCAAGACTACGGATCCCAGAAGACCCAGCGGCGATACCCACTTGCACCCGGAAAGAGGGCTCTTGCCTCGCGAGGAAGCCTGGGAACAGTAGTCTCATGAAGCTGACCCCGAGTGGCACGTGCTATCGGTATACTGTAATGCAGTTTTGTGTTTCGCGGGGGAACCTAGTTGGGGAGAACGAGGTAACAGGCGAGTTAACATTTGCGCATCTTTTAATTTTCCTAATTTGTCCAATTGTCGGAACACCCTCTTTTGTCTTATGTTTTACCTGCTGTACATACCTTTCACCTTAGTTCAAGTGGGCCTATGTTTTGAAATAGCACCCCCTCGTGGGCACTCGCACTCCAGGAGCTAAGCCTCACCTAATACACTGCGGCACTACTGTGAGTTTAACCTTAAACACCGCATTCTCGGTGTCTCTCTGAAATTTACGTTGGCGTCTCATTACCAAATTTATTTCTTGCTGCTGCACATCATCTTGCTGTCTTGCTAAGACAACAGGTGTTTTCCTGCCGTTGTTTTTCTGTCTGGAATGCTTGAACCTGGAAACATCTTTCATCCCGTTTTATCCAGGAAAGCCTTTTGGGTCGTCCCAGCCAATCATGATCCTGCTCTGTGTTTCTACAGTCCGTCTCTATCTCTATAATTTACTCATTTGCTTTTTAGAAGCTACTTCGTATTATTGTTTTCCTATTTTTTTGTAAAGGTTTATACTACAAAAGTTTAAAAATCATTTCAAAAGGTACAAAACTATTTAAGTAAAAAATATACTTGGCCTACAAATTCCAGTTCTGCTCTCCAGATTTAACCCTTGTTATCTTTGGTGCGTATTCATCCACGCTTTTTCTATGCATATAAAAATGTATAAATTCCAGTGAAGAAACAATCACATGCCTTACCTCTTGTCCTTGTCCCAGAGCCTGTAAAGGTGAACCCACTGGGGTTGGCTGGAGGAGAAGTGGAAAGTTTGTTCCAGAAGGAACTATCTGAAGGATCATAAGGATTTCTAAACATGAGAAGGGGAGGAATAAATAATTCGTTAACATATCAGTTGTAAATTTTTTTCCAGGTCTGAAGAAAGAACAAAACACATATAATGTAATCCAACTCTTGGAGGACATCAAAAAGGGAATTTCAAGTTACTTTTTATACAACCTAGCTGTCCTAATTAGCATACAATCATTCACCCTTTCTAAATAAACAGTTTTAACCTTAAAAATGTATATAGACACACATGGATCTTCTTTATTCAAAAATGGGACCATTCTACATATATGGTTCTACAACTTGCTTTTTTTCATGTAACAATATGTTGTCCATTAACCAATATTTATTGAGATCTTAGTGAGTTCCAGTTCCATTAAATGAATATATCAATTATTAAATTATATTTTTAGTTTTAGTTTTTCACAACTACAAATTAAGTTACAGAAAACATTCTTGTACATGTAATAGTTTTCCTTGAAAGGAAATTGCTGAGTTAAAGAATGTACACATTTGAAATTTTGGCAGATAATGCCAAATTACCCTTTAAGAAGGTTGCATCAATACATATTCCCACAAAAAAATTCATGAGAGGAGACCTCTGTTATGGACTGAATTTTATGTGTCATCTGCCTCCTCCCCACCCCATGGGCATAATTCATATGTTGAAGGGCTCCATACCCAATGTGACTATATTTGGAGCCAGCGCCTTTAAAGAGGTAATTAAGGCTAAATGACATAATAAAGATGGGGGCCTAATCCACTAGGACTGTTGTCAGAAGAGGAAGAGACACCTGCAAGCCAGGGAAAGGTCTCACTAGAAACCAGCCCTGCCAGCTCCATGATCTTGAACTTCAAACTTCCAGAGCTGTGAGAAATAAATTTCTGTTGTTCAAGCCACTTAGTCTGTGGTATCCTGTTATGGAAGCCTGGAAAGACTAATGCAATGTCCTTTTAGTTAATTGCTTATTAATCTTTTGGGTGCACTGAATCTTTTCACATTTTTCTCTATAAAACAGTCACATGAGGGTCACAATAAATTTATTTCAAATAAACTTGGAAATAATTTGCCTATGAGAAATCAGTAAGAACCAATATAGGGTAGCACAATTCTTCCTCTGTGAAGAAACATACTCTAAGGTGATTTGGGCACTAACTATGGTCAGTATTATGATGATTAGGCTTTGGGAAAAAGATTCATGTTAACGAAAGAAAGTTGTGCCATTTTTGCTTTACTCAGCATCTGATAAAACGATATGCACCCACATGTGCTGTCTACATGAAATCTAATTTTATATATATATATATATAGGTCTCCAGTGCTACCTAGACAGAGGTGTTGTGGCTACTAGTCTCTTTGGCAGGTGCATTCCTAAGGGCCCTGAAGGAAAACCTCAGAGACATAGGCCACCAAACATTGGCTGAACAATCATGTCTTTGCCTGACTCCATGTTCACCAAAGACTCATCTGATTATAACTGACTTCTCATATCACTTTCAATGGAGAGAAAGTGTGTTGATTAAGTGAGACAAAACACCCAGTTCACGTGACATACATTTCTTGGTATGAATTAACAAATCAGCACTCTTGTCTATCTATTGAGTGCCTACTATGTGCCAGGCATTATTTTAGGTACTGGAAATACAGCAATAATAATACAGACCAACAAGAACAAAAAAAAAAACCTTCCTAGGGGGTGAGGGTATAGCTCAGGGGTAGAGCCAGTGCTTAGCATGCAAGAGGTTCTGGGTTCAATCCCCAACATCTCCATTAACAAAAAAAAAGGAAGAAGAAGAAAAAAAAAACCAACAAAGCTCATATTCTAGTGGGAGGCAATCTTCAATTAAATGAAGAGTCAAAATAATTTCAGAGTACCAAAAGTGCAATAAAAAATAAATGGGATAAAAAAAAGTAAAAAAAAAACAAAATAAAATAAATGGAATGAGAATGTTAAGAGGTTAAGAGAGAACAATTTTATATGGTGTGATCAGGTTAGGCCTCTGAGGAGGTATCTGAAGTAAGCCCTGAATCACAAGGAAGAGCTAATCATTCAAAGAGCATTCTGTGGTAAGAACAGCCAGTGCATGGACACTCCAGTGGGAATACATTTGTTATGTTCAAAAGGAAGACTAGATTAACTAAGGAGTTCAAGAAAAGAGGGAGAGTAGTACCAACCTAATGTTTCATCTGTATTTAATTTGTGTGAGTCAGTCTCCTTAATCTGATGAATTCTGATTCACTTCCTAAATTGAACCTCCAGAACTACAACACTGAGGACCAGACCTGGTGTGGTCAGAAACTCCCAGGGTGGCTCCCAATAATTTCTGCCTTCTGTTATTCACACTCTTATGTACGTTCCCTCCCATATTGTACCAGGATTGGTCTGTGACCAATAATATAAGCCAGAAGCGATGATATATCACTTCCAAGATAAGATGATAAAAAGACTGAGGCTTTTAGCCTAGGTGCTTTTGTTCTCTCTCTGCCTCTCTCTCTTTCAGATCTCTTACTCTAGTGAAAGCAATGTGCCCTGCTGTAAGCAGCCCCATGGAGAACCCCAAGTGGCAAAAAATTGGAGACTCCATTGAGCAGCCATTGAAGAATGAGGCCTGCCAATAACCTCAAGAGTGAACTTGGAAGCAGATTCTCTAGCCCCAGTCAAACCTCGAGATGACTGCAGATGTGGACAACAGCTTGACTACTACCTTCTGAGAAACCCTGAGCCAGAACCAGCAGCTTAGCCACTCCTGGATTCTTGACCCTTAAGAACTAAGTGAGATAGTGGAAGTTTATTGTTCTCAGATGCTAAATTTGAGGGTATCTTGTTGCACAGTAATAGATAATTAATACACCTGGTTTGCAGTTATTCTTCCAGAGAGTCACAACCCTTCAGGCAATATCCCTTTTAGTGCTTTATTTTTAGCCGTAAACAACCCATATTTGAGGTATGGTCTACAGTCCTCAGCTTGCTGTCTCATTTCACAGAATCCCTGCAATATCCCTGGAAGAATTAGAAAAGTAGGGATTACTGTCCCCATTCTACTGAGGAAGAAACTGAGGCTAAGGGAGGTTTAAACAATTTGCCAAGGGGCACATAGTAAGTAGATTATTTTATTTGGCTCCTTTGTTCCTAGTTGTATATCTTCATTTTTTTTTCTTAAGTTTTTTTGGGGGGGTAATTAGGTTTGTTTGTTTGTTTGTTTATATTTAACAAGTGCTTTACTATGAAAGTAATTTTCTCAAGCAATGTCCATAATATAGAAGCATTTTTATAATCCAATAAACAACTCAAAAAGAATCATCCTACTGTTTTTGTGGAAAACCCACAGCAATTTTTTTGGGTAGTAACTGGATCCAACAGCATTGTAATTCTAATGAACAAATTAAATCAGGGATCTTTAAATTTTGGAATTCCAGTATTCATTAACTACAAATAAGTATCAGCCCACATCTATCACCAGTGATACCAGATCTTTCTTTCTAATGAATTGCCCATTACATTTCCAAAGTTCTGAAATGGCCAACAGACCATAAAGACTCTTTTGGCTCCTGCTTGAAACGAACAGCTTCAGCAAGCTGCTGGCCTTGATTCAGGGCCAATTATTTACCTATTTTTTAATAAAGGTAGTGGGGATTGAACCTAGGACCTTGTGCATACTGAACATGCGCCCTACTACTGGAGCTATACCCTCCCCACCCTCATTGTACCCTCCCCACCCTCATTGTTCCAATCAGCTTCTTATGGAAGGAGAGATGAAAGAATAGGTTTCATTGCATTTGATGAGAATGCTCTGAAGGGCAGGGACCCTTTTACAAGGAATTATTTTCCAATGTTGGCATGCTTAGGAACCAATTGAGGCATTTCTTTCAAATGCAGATTTCTATATCCCTTTCCTCCAGAAATAAGGGGACTTCTACATATTTAACAGGTTTCTGGAGAGTTTCTTATACATCTTTAAGAAACTGCTCTGGCAGAGAAAGGTCGTGGTAAATGTTGATAGTGATGCTGATGGTAAATGGGTAAGAGGGGAAGGTGTTGGAGCAGGGAAAAATAAATCTTATCAGAATTCTTATAATCATTCAATAAATGTTACAGGATACATATCAGATTCTAGGCATTATTAGGTGTTGGGAATAGAGCCATCAATAAGACATATATCACTTGTTATCTTGATGGAAAAAGAAGATTCATCCTTGAAAAAGCAATGGCAATAAGTATTTGAGGAAGCTTCAGAGGTAAAGAAAATGTAGGGAAAAATAGAGAAGGTCAAGGTCAAGATCAGGAGAAGGAGCTGGATGGGACAGGTTCTAGGAGCTGGGAGAAATAGGGAGCCCATCTGTTCTGAGGCTAGTCTAGCTCATTGCTTCTGCTGTCTGCCTTTCTGTGGGGCTTCTCTTCCCTTCCCCTTTCCTTACTTCACCTCTTACCTCGCACCTCCCACTTTGTTTCTTCCCCATGTCTAGAGTCCGTCTTGAATTATTGACTGATATTAAAAAATACTGAATGCCACTGAATTACTCACTTTAAAATGGTTAGTTTGTCATGTGATTTCACCTCAAAAAAAGAAAATACTGGGTTCTCAAATCCATCCATCCAAATCAGCCAAACTTGCCACCCTCCAGGACACTCATTAAAGACCTTTCACACAGACTCACTGCCTCCCTACCTTACCCCCAGTCTATCTGCCAGGCATCTGCGACTTCTCCCATTTTTGCCTGGAGCACAATTCCCAGAGCTGCTCCACTGATGTTTTCCTTTCCTTCCCTAGATCTAGTCCAAACTAGAAGCAAGGCAGAGAAGAGCACTGGGTCAAGTACTTGTCAGCTGTGCGAACTTGGGTAAGTTACTCAACCTCCCTAAGCCTGGTTCCTCAAGAAGCTGAAACCACTTACCTTAATCACCCATCCAACAGTATTGAGATGATATTTCCTTAAAGGAAAACAGGACCAATAGATCAGCTGGAGTAGGAGTAAGAGGGGTACCTTCCCAGAGGAGGTAAAGGTATAACC